TGCGGTTATGTGCTGCTCATAAACCTCATCCTGGCACCTCGGAAATAATCAACCAAATCAACCACGCATGTAGTCTGAAAACTAACCGTTTGTCTAAGTGCAACACAGTCACATGCTGGTTTAGCTTTAAAAAAAATAATTATATTAACAACAACAATAATAATGGTGATGATGATGATGAAGAATAGCTCATAATAATAATAATAATAATAATAATAATAATAATAATAATAATAATGAAGAATAGCACTTATAAGAAGAAGTACACTTATAATAATAATTATGATCATAATAAGAAGAAGAAAAAGAAGAAGAATAACACTTAATAATAATAAAAATAAGAAGAAGAAGAAGTACTTATCACTAAAGATAGTGATAAGTAAGGGTTAATAACGTGATTAATACAGATAAAAACTAAAGTTCTTCTTTTTTTTTTTTTCCTCAGAACAGTCAGCTTGGTGTTATTTCAAAAAGTCAAATGGTACATTCTGTTTGGGTCATATTTACCATGTTTTCAAGAAAATTCCACTCTGTTAGAATTCAGGGAAGCTGGACATTTTGGACCTGCTAAAAGAATATTACTCTGTCTTCCAGATCTTTGTAACTTGTAATATCATATTGCATTTTGTGTACATTAAATAAGATCCTCAGAAATAAAATACTTGTCACCTCCACCAACAGAAGATTCTTCTTGGACAATGTCGATAGGTTGTGCACCTGGATGATGTAACTTATTATAAAACTGGATCATCACTTGTTGACCAGACTCTGAGGTTGTCTTTGGTCCAAACAGAACATAACACTGACTCTCACAGTAAAAGATGAAGACTGTAGGACGCATAGGGCCAAATCCGTGTGTAATCTGGTCAACGAGCATGCTGAATCTCAATCTCAGAGGCAATGTGGGATTTTTTTTGAACCACCAAAAAGGCACCAAGAACTCAGACTGACTTGCACACTGTCAGTGGAAGAGTGGGCTAAAATCGACAGGCATTCCTACCTCACAGGATTGGTGCTGTTACTAAGGCGCGTAACCAAGTATTAGGAAAGAAATGATACATGCAGCTATTTTGGTGAGCCTCCATCAGGCTCATTGATTTAGTCCTACAGATTTGGTCCTATGCAGCCTACATCCGTCAACAACTGAGCAGACCAATTAACACTGTACGACACGGCACTACTATTAATGGATGTGACTGGTTTTTGTCCCCAGACCTTATAATCAGACATCATACAGGATTTTTTGTAGAGCCCTCATGATATTCACAGCTTTGTAAGCAAAAGTTTTCTGATAGTTTACAGTTCAAGACATGTGACACAACAAAACTTTTGTCACAGTAACTTCATGAACTCCATGAACTAAGTGTAACTAGATTGTAATTTTAGTCATATTGAGTCATTTCTTTCAAATGTATCAACATTTCTCTCAGACGTTTTGATACTTTTCTCTCAGACGTTTTGATATATTTTAAAGGAATGTATCAACATTTCTCTCAGATGTTTTGATACATTTCTCTCAGACGTTTTGACACATTTCTTTCAAATGTATCAAAACGTCTGAGAGAAATGTTGATATTCCTCATCGTTCAGTCTTGCTTTAACTGTAAAATACTTAACAGCTATTGATTAGTTAGCTGAATCTTAGTCAGTCATTACGTAGCTTTTGCTTGCTGTCCAGTTTTCTCAGTTGCCTACTAACAGTGGTCTTACAATTGTAGCCACGTGAACAGCAATCGACTCATGTGTTCACCTTACCATGTCAAATTCAGATCATTCATGGGTATCCTTCGAACAGGCCATAAATTTAAGCCACTGGGATTTACAGTTTTATGATCTATTTACCAGTCATTTTTGCAGTTATTGATACAGTTAGTTAAGTTCTCATTGCATTCTGAACGTCTGAGTGTTTAAAAATTCCAGTTATTTGAGTTGCTGTTTAATACACTTGGTTGACAGTCCAAAAAGGGAATGTAATTCATACACAACAAAAATTGAGAATGTAATTAATACTTGGCAAATTAAAATGTGGAAAATAATTTCAACCCCAGTATTTCTACTCACAAGATTAACTTAATTTGTCAGAGCGCCATCCATGCTTTTATTCTGGCAGAAAATAAATTTCATCCAAAGCGACTCAAAAATGAGTCAGAATCCAATCCAAGAATAGAGCCGAAGGACTGAGTGTAAGTTTAAATCCCAGGAAAGCCTAAGAGACACTGTTGGACTCCTTAGCGATGGTTGTGGGTCTTGCGAAAAATTCCAACAACTTCTCTTAGGCTTTCCTGGGATTTAAACTTAGTCACTAAGACAGAACCTTAATATTGAGCTATCTCTTTCCTCAGCCATCTTTTGACAAGACTAAGCACTCTAGACAACCCTTTAAATCCATGTTTTCTCTGTCCTCTGCAGTGCTCCGTCGTGCAGCTGAATGTCGGCGGTCAGGTATACACCACCACCCTGGTGACCCTGCGCAAATTCCCCAACTCGAAGCTGGCTGAGATGTTCAGTGTGCCTCCCAAACTTGTAAAGGATGCAGAGGGTCGCATTTTTATAGACCGTGATGGGACACACTTTAGGGCGATTCTTGAGTACCTCCGTTCAGAGGAGGTTCCTACTAAGAATTTGCTGGAGGTTCACAAGGAGGCAGTGTACTATGATATAAAACCCCTGGTGAAACTCCTGGAGGAGTCGCCACAGTTTTTCGGTGAGAAGGTAGGAAGGCAGCAGTTTTTGTCCCATGTGCCCAACTACCACGAGAATCTGGAAGTCCTCATCAGGGTGGGCAGAGCAGAAGCCATGGCTTCGCGATACTCCACAATAATCATGTGTGTCCTAAAGACAGAAGATGACCTGGCAAGGTACAATGACGCTATGGTCAGTCTTGATACAAGAAAGGAATCTATTGTGAGTTTTGGCCCATGGAATGCTCAAGCTTCTGTGGAGGATCTTCTGGATTGCATAAAAATGGACATAGAGGCAAAAGGATATAAAGTGAGCATTAAGCCACACAGCACAGAGAAAGGCTTTCTGTTTAAGAGCCATGATTTCTTCTATAAGCTGACTTTTACTTGGTGGTGACTAGTAAATGTGGTTCTGCCCTTGTAAGTGTGAGTGGAATGTATTTAAATAGTGGTACACAGAGGTCATGAATCTTTATAAAAATCCACCTACCAAACACTTCAGATAAGAACATCATGTTATCTATTAGTCTACAAGACCCACCTACATTGCAGACATGTGTCATATAGGGTTCATTCAGGATCTTTGCTGGCAGCTGTAGCCACCCTTGTTTAATATTTACTCTAGTTTGTACCAGCCCATTACATCATGTGACCTTAATGTGCTCACAAAAATTCTTTTGCAGAGTTTCCAAGAATCCGATATAGCACGGACAGAACATTTCTCTCATACTGTAGCAATGTCAAAGTGTACAAAATATTTTATATCTTTGTGATGTCTGTTAAGTAAGGAATAACACACAACAGGGTGTGCTGTTATAGGAAAATGGTGTGATACAGCCCAACATGATTTTATTATTTTCCTACAGCTGCATGTTGCAAATTGTTTTATTCCATTTATACCACAGCAATTTGCCAAAGATTACAAATTTTAATGTGTTAATGAACGACATTGTATTTTTTAACCATTTATAGTTACAACTGAGTTCATGCTGTCACATACTCCACCCAAAAATTTTAAATAAATTTCTCCTTACAGAAAACTTGACCATATCAGTGTTTATGTTCATTGTTAAATAAAAACACATTTTAAAATTTGTTTATTATTAGGCCTAGATTATATGGAGCATCTGCCATACAAGTCCCTGTGACTGAGCTGCATAGAATGGATAATTTATTAGAAACATTAATGCATAGTGCATTAATATAAACATGTCATTTGAAATACTGGAACTAGTGTCAGAGCTGCTGTTATAGAAAATTAATCCACACCATCAGTTTCGAGAATTCATCAGCAATGTGGTATAATGTGTGGTATTTGTAGGGGAAGTGAATGTGTGTGAATGATCACTTAATGTTCTTATATATTTATAATGATTAGGTTTTCTAATGGGTCTCTGTTTAACATGTTTAACTTATAAAAAGGTATATTTACATCCCATATAGCTTAATTCAGAAATGATGAGTGGTACTTGATAATAGTTATTATAGCTCACGTTTTTAAAATTTAATTATTGTGTACTTATAGTTGATATTTCATACTGTATCAGAAATAACTGGTTTCAGATTATCGTTAATTGTGTGCTTAGTGCTTAGTTACACTTAGTTCATAGCATATATTGTTCTGTACTTTTTCTATATTTCAACCTGTGTATGGATGTAATGTTTACATTTTTAAGCATTTTTTTCAACCTGTTGTTTATATTGTTTAACACTATATTGGTCACATTAATTTTGTAACCACTCACATAGATTGAATAAATCAGATAAACTGGTTATTTTTTCTTTGGAGTCTCTACAAGAAGTAAGTATAATGTGATATGTGTTTGAGTGGCTCATCAATAAGAGCATCAACTCCCATCTCTTCCATCTCCCAAGATGATGAAACACTCAGATGATTTCCATGGAAGTATTTTTACTACAGTACACTGCCAGAGTAATGACATTGCACTTACATCTACACAGAATAAGAAGAAAAAGAGAAACATAAAAAAAGACATGGCTCATATATGTATATGAGTTGGTTCTTAGTGTTTACCTAAAAGTGCTGACCTGTTCATGAATGACACATGGTGTTAACTTGGGCTAATCTTCCAACCATTTGCTGTGCCACTTATCATACAGCAGTTGCAGGGTAGCCTGGGGCCTATCCCGGGGGGAGGGGGTTTGGGCACACCCTGAGTGGGGTGCCTACCCATCACAGGGCACACACACACACACACACAATGGACAATTTGGAAGTGCCAATCAGCCTACAGCACATGTGTTTTGACTGGGGGAGGGGGCCCCTGGGGCATGGGGAGAGCATGTAGGCTCCACACAGAGCAGGGATGAGAATCGAACCGCGAACCCCAGGTGTACGAGGCAAGCGTGCTAACCACTAAGCCACCTTGCCTCCTCCTCTTAAGCTAATCTTCTAATTAGAATACTTCTGACAGGCACTATGACGTATGTTTGACGTATTATGATGACGTGGATTTGTTATGAATGATGCATATTTGTGTGTGTGTTTTTTTAACAGTTTGTTGATTATATGCTGTGGGCAAAAATCGCGATTTTGCTTCAAATTGTCATTTTTTGGATATTTCTAAAAGAATGAATGTTGACGGAATTGTAAAGTAAATACTTCCGCCTTCAGACACTTGACGGCGACATCGGTGCAAAAGCCCTACGCGGAACTAACAGTGAGGACAGAAGAAGAAGAAAAAAAGAAGCACTACGGCGAGTAATATGGGACAAATGTGCTTCGCTTCAGTTCGTTGTTCATTGTAAGAATGGCTGCCCATCTAAAAAAGCGGGTTTACGAGGAATTTTCCAAAGTTGTGCAGGTAAAACACCTGAGTGGGAAAAATAAAGAAGTGAGGGCTTTGCAAAGTGGAGTCTGTAGTTACCGAGCGAGCTAGCTGTGTCACAGGAAATATAGCTGTGTGGCTAAGCTAACAGTTATTCTCATTAGGTCAGCTTTCTGCTGTTTCTGTCTGTCACAGATGTTTTATTGAGAAAGTATTTTTTTTTTTCCAGGGGAACATTCATATAGCTCATGTTCTGTATATAGAACTCATACACAAGACATACACTGGGATATGTTCAGAGTTATTATATTTATAATATTATTTTCAGTTATACTTGTTATGGTTTAATGGGTTTAATGCAAACCTCAATAACTCAGGAACAAGTAGGCCTGATAATAATGTCAACCTGAATTTAATAACAATTTTAATAATAAATATTTGGGTGGAAAGGTCTGGATAATATATATATATATATATATATATATATATATATATATATATATATATATATATATATATATGAAATGTGTGTGTGTGTGTATATGTATATATTTATGGCTGGAATAAATAGCCAAAATACAGTTTCTGAAATAAAGGTACTAAACTGTACTTTTCCTTGTTTACCATCAATAGTACATCTTTTGTAATTTAAGTATGTATCATGAATATAGTGTACTTTTAGGGTATATAATATTACCGTAAGGACCACTAATGTATCTTTTTAGCTGTACTTTACTCTAAAAGCAATTTACTTAAGCTTGAAATACTTTCCACAAGGCTTTTCCTGTGTTCTGTGTCCATATGCATGATATGCATGTTTAAATCACATGTATGCAAGGTTTTGTTTTCCAGTTAACCTCCATTAAATGTATCAGCTCTTAAAATATGTCAATATCGATACTCAGTATCAGATCACTGGATCAGTACTTTATTCAATTGTCCATTTATTATTTAAATAATCCCACCTAATTCCCAGCAACAACCTGTTGAGGAGGTACCGGCAAAGAAGCTTCGTCTGACCAAGCCTAGTAAATCTGCAGCCCTCCATATTGACCTGTGCAAAGCCACCAGCCCCACAGACGCCCTGCAGTATCTCCTAAACTTTGCACGCAAGCCGGTAGAGGCGGAAAGCGTTGAAGGTGTAGTGCGCATTCTTCTGGAGCACTATTATAAGGTAAGAGTTCATTTATGAGGCAGACTTTAAAGGGTTAGGGGAAAAGATTCGGGACAAAGTTATCAGATTGCTGATCAGACATGTGTGATGTGTCTAATGTCTAATTTGTCAGTTGGTACATACTGAGCAGGTCATTTCAGCTTCTGCAATGTGATCATTGTTAATATCCCACTTTCATCACAATTTCTGAATATGATGTTTAACAGGAGGTCGATAACTCAGTCAGGCTGAAGATTGCATCACTGCTCGGTCTGCTCTCCAAAACACCTGGTTTCTCTCCTGACTGCATTGTTGATGATGTTATTAGCACCCTGAATCATGACAGTAAGTCATTTCAGTGATTATCCTGGTTCTGCTTCCTAATTCCAGTGTTTGCTGAATGCATCCTAATGACATAAATAAATTATTTACTGCATCCAGAATTCAGAAATGTAATATTACTTTCATTGTCTACAAAATACGTACAGACAAGCCACATATTAAAGACCCCATGAAATCAGAATTGGTGTTTGTATGAGTATTGGTGAAGTAGGCTCAAATAAGTCCATATATATATATATATATATATATATATATATATATATATATATATAAAATATATATATAATGTGTTTTGTATATATTTGTATTTTAATTTTACTGTGTATCATTTGTTGGAAAATAGCAAAAATGTTTTGCTGTCCTGTACTCATCCAATTTGCATCCAATCAAATGCTCCCTAGAAGACATTTGTCCCACCAACAGTAGCAGCAAGTTTAAATTTAACCAAACAAACAAAGAAGAATTTCCTCCAGGATCAGTAAAGTTTATCTTATCTTACCACAACTATAACTAGACGACTGTTTGTCTAGTCATAGTTATGAAGCTTCCTGCATTCTCCTTCCACAAAAAATAGTGTGTTCAAAAGATAGTTGCAGTTTATATGTGTGGGATTTAGATTGCCCTGCAGATCCTTGATCTCGGGTTAAACATGTACAGCTGTTGCAGGCTACACTAACTGTGATAACTGCAATAACTATGCTCTGTGACGCTCAGTTTAATATACAACAGTGAGTGAGAATTTTTGGACAAAACATGGCATGTTAGTGAGTATGAGAGAGAGAGAGAGAGAGAGAGAGAGAGAGAGAGAGTTGTTTTTGCATGATTTTGCATGTTCTCCCTGTGCTTCGGGGGTTTCCTCTGGGTTCTCCAGTTTCCTCCCCCAGTCCAAAGACGTGTAGGCTGATTGGCATTTCTAAATTGTCTGTATTGTGTGCATGTGTGTGCGATTGTGCCCTGCGATGGGTTGGCACCCCGTCCAGGGTGTCCCCCACCTTGTGCGCCTTGGGATAGGCTCCAGGCTCCCCTGTGACCCTGTGTAGGATGGGAAATGGATAGATGGATGTTAACCGGCAGTCTTTACACTCTCAACTACATAGAGAAATCTCTAATAAGCTCTGTATAAACTGTGGCCACCTATTAAGCTGTTCAGTTTAGATTTCTTTGTGAAGGTGTGGCGTATCTTGAGTGATATTGGCTGTTGTGGAAATCAGTCAAGTCCTTCGACCTCCCTGACTTGCTGTTTCAAAAAGGAAATGCATCAACATCCGGAATCAAATCACGACATTCAAGCCACTTTATGGCACTTTAAAGGAAAAACCCTTAAAAAAGTGAATAGATGTTTTCGGGCCACCAGAACCTTCAGTGTGCATTAGTGTGGATTCTGTGTGGATTCCCTGGATGTGAAGGAGAGATAAACACCATTCTTCCAAACGATTTTTCATCAGTTGGTGTTTTGATGATGGTGGTGGAGAAAAAAAAACCCTGTAGGTGTTCAACTGGGTTGAGATCTGGTGACTGTGAAGGCCATTTTCATCCTTTTCAAAGCATTCAGTGAGCCCTTGTGCCCTGTAAATAGGGGCGGGGTCATTCTGGAAGAAACCAAACGTCCCCACATCATAACAGAGCCACCTTTTTTTCCCTGTAATTATTCCCTGCATATATAGACAGGGAGCAGGAATGAATTCTCTCTGGCCTCTCTCAGTAAAAAAACTTCTGGCTCCTTGCCACATTCCACACTAATGACTTTGAAGCTTCAGTGCCCAGACCACTTTCCTTTAAGAACAGAAACATTGTTTGCTGTCAGCGAAAGCTTTCAATGCACGAACTCTGGTTACAGGAGGTCTGTGGGGATGTTTTCTTCCTGTGGCCACATGGGTTTCCTCCCAAAAACATGTCCTGCAGGTGGATTGTGTGTGTGTGTATGTCTAGTGTTTCAAGGATAGGCTCAAGAACCTGCTCAATGGTTGCAGCCCGATTAATGAATGACCCAGATTAATTTTGTGGCGAGATTAGACGTTATTGGCAGAGGCTTTTTATACTTTAGTGTGCAGGTTTCCAACCCTGGATCTGGAGAACACACCGACTGCTCTAACACACCTACTTCGACTAATCAGCTAATTAACAGCTCTACAAGAGTTGAAATGGGTGTGTTAGTACAGGGAAAACACTAAAATGTGTAGGACAGGGGGTATTCCATTGGGTAGCCATGTCCTTTCTGGAAGTTCCATGCTCAAAAGTAAATTTACATTTGGTCTTCTAGTTTGGTCACCTGCTCCCATTTTTCTGCCCAATCTGGTCACCTGCTAATTCCCTCCCCTATCATGTGACACCTACCAACCAGGCAGGGTGAAGACTGACATGTGACATCCAAGACAACTGAAGCCAGTTTTCCAACTGCTGCTCATGCTGCATCACAGGGAAGCGTAACACACTTGGCAGAAATTGCTGTCCACCCTCTTCCGCATACATAAGCTCACAAATGCCCACTATTGGCTAATGTCTCTGTGATTGACAGGGAAGAGAGAGTATGCCATCCCTCCTACCCAGAGATCATGGCCAGTTTAGGTCTCTTGGCTCCCAAACCCACACTCTAACTTTTTTTTTTGTTTTGTTTTGTTTTTTTTGTTTGTTTTTTGGTGCCACTTGGGAGCACAATTGTGCAAATGCAGCAGTGGTAGCTCAGTGGTTGAGATGTCTGATTACTCATCGGAAGGTCGTGAGTTCAAATCCCAGCACTGCCAAGCTGCCACTGCTGGGCCCTTGAGTAAGGCCCTTAACCCTCAACTGCTCAGTTGTATAAATGAGATAAAAGTAAGTCGGTCTGGATAAGGGCGTCTGCCAAATGCCATATATGTAAAAAAAAAATGTATTTTTTTATTTGTTTTTTTCTTTATTAATTTCTGTAAGGTATACTAATCAGTGAAGATAGTTGACTGTCCTCTCTCAATGCACTTGTGCAAGCCTCAGTGTAGATTTGGAAATGTTTTAGCTTTAGGTAGGGCTCCTCTAGGATTATTGTTTCAAATATTGACCATACCCTTGAAAGAAAGCTGCAAAACAATGGATTGTATGCCACATGTTGAGTTTGGTCTAGATTTATGAAGTATATGGAATTTCACATGCTTGTGACAGTATGTCATGGATATTGCTTCAAAGCTTGACTTTCCGTTTTGCTTTTAGAGTCTAATCAGGTGTTGGCACAGCTGCTTGACACTCTGCTGGTCATTGGCACACAGCTTCCAGACAACATGGCAGTCACTCAGAGACTCTTCGAAGTGGCATGCAAGGTAACATGTTTTCTATTATTTTGAGTAGAACACAGAGTGTGCGAATCCCAGTTAGACTGTAGTTAGTATTTTTTAGAAAATACCTGTCATCTAGTTTTGTCATTTAAAAACACTACCATCTAAAAAGACCCAATTTTATAATCTATGCCTCTCCTTTAACAGCACCTTCAAAGCACTTATTTTGGGGTACGCAATAAGTGTCTACGGCTCCTTGGCTGCTTGGGTTCTGTCGACAAACCTCTGAATAAAGAGAATGAGGCAGTACCAGGCACTTCCACCGCACCCCTAAGGGATGTCCAGAGTCTCATCAGTGATTACTTCAGTGACCAGGACCCCCGAGTTCGCACAGCGGCCATTAAAGCTATGGTGAGCCTCATTTGCGTTGCATTAGCTCTTCTGCTTTGTGGCCTTACATGCACAATGGCAGTAAATTAAAGTGATAAGGAGCTTTGGAAGCTGATGATAGTATTTGAATATGAATTTTGTATATAAATATTTGTTCTACTCAAATAGCTAGTTTTCAACAGTGATGTTAACCACTCGAGGCTTATTCTGCGTTTGAAATTATTACATTTTCTACAAAGTAGGAAAAAAAGATAACAAGATAATATGTCTGAATGTTGATTGATCTAAATCAAATGCTGGTACACACCATGTACATCATTTAAAAGTAAAGAAGTGCTACTTTGTTTACTTTTGGTGACGTGAGTAGCCATTTTGATTTGATGTGCCGAAATCAGGGTTGAGGAGATCTTGATTTTCTGAGTAGGATTTCCAAGGTGATGGGCGTTTTCCTTGGGGTTTTTGTTTGTTTGTTTGTTTGTTTGTTTATTTGTTTTAGTCTGAGGTCAGAAATTCCAAGTTGCAAGTTTCAGTATCATTCTAGCTAGTTAGTCTATGCTAACTTTATCTTGCTGGCAATCATTAGCAGTTAACACCCAAAACTACCTGCTTAATATGAATTTATCTACTTTAGTAGAACATGAAAACCTTTAGATGCGCTGCACTTACCTCATTCCTGTTCATGACTTTTGTTTTTGATTTCACCTAACTCTGCTCCATATCTCTTCACCTCACTTCATGGACACGAGTGTGGCAGACGACTGTGATTGGCTAAATGTTGGGTTTGATCCCCCCTAGGAAATCCTGGACAGGTCACATTTGCCCTCATTTACATAAAATCAATATTTTTGAGATTTGTATTTAGGGTTCTGAATTTTTAAATCTCAAACCCATAAACTGTCATTTTGAATTGTATGCTTTTAAAGGCAAATCGTGGCAAGTCATTGGCAAAAATGTAAATGTATTAAATACACCATAGGGAAAAATAAGAATTGTATTGAATGTGATGTGCATATAATACAAATATACAAAATTCATGTTGAGATATGTTTGTCAGCTCCAGGCTCCATAAAGTGAAGTCTCTGTTTAGTGTGTCATATTTGACTGAGTTCATCTTATCTTGTGTCCTCAGCTGCAACTGCACGAAAGAGGAATGAAACTCCAGCAGACGATATACAACCAGGTAAAAGTCTGTTAATATATACAGTCTGGTTATGCGTGTTGGTTTCGAACTGATTTATCTTTTGTCCCGCAGGCCTGCAAGCTCTTGAGCGATGACTATGAACAAGTGCGCTCAGCCGCTGTGCAGATGGTGTGGGTGCTAAGCCAGCTTTACCCTGAGAGGTGGACTAATATATTGTTTTAATACTATGTCACATGATTCATAGAGATTCATATATTTTTGTTTGCCCTATTTTCTGTACAAAAGAATATAGTTTCTTTTTTTTCCTCCCCGTTGTCATGCAGCATCGTCCCCATTCCCTCATCCAACGAGGAGATCCGGCTGATCGATGATTCATTCGGGAAGATCTGCCACATGGTCAGCGATGGCTCCTGGGTAGTGCGAGTGCAGGCTGCCAAGTTGCTGGTGGGTTTTTTTGACTGACGGTTTAGCGAAGATCTTCCTGCATGCGCTGAATATTTATTTTGTAACCTGTTTGTGTTTGCTTCTTCAGGGCTCAATGAAGCAGGTGAGCCCACACTTCCTGGAGCAGACACTGGACAAGAAGCTGATGTCAGATCTCAGGGTATGGACACATTTATAGTGTTATCATGGCATCATTCCTTCCTGTGCTGATAATTACTTTCAGATAGGTCCAAATCCTATGCTCTGATTAGAGTTATAGTGTTACAATGTTTTAAAAATATATTTATATTTCATTATAGGTTGCATCTGGCTTTGCAGCACTGTGTTGCGTGCATTCTCCATGATGCATACAGATTTTTTTTTTGATTATACTCACTTTATTGGTGCTGTAGTTTTTTAAAATAAAATGTCTGGTTTATGAACTAAATTCCCACAGAACGAATAAACAAATGCATACAAGATTTTTAGAAATGTTTCTTAATCTTTCAACCTTCTGACTAAACATTCATACACTTATATACTTCTCTACATCTTTCCCAAAATACTTTTTTTGGAGTAATTACAGTAAATAAGCAAATGAAAAAGAAAAGAAAGAAACTAAGAAAGTTTCTGATTCATTGTGTCTAGTTTTGATGTATGGACAGGATCAGAGTTTTGTCTCTGTATAGCTTGTTGCAACTACACAAGAATACTAAGCTAAGCTATACTAAGCTATACATTTGGTATTGAATTAATTATTACACAGCTGTAACACTCTGTGATCAGAGTATTAGAAACAATAGTAATATTGCCTTCCTCACGGAACAGACTTTATCTCAGGAGCTTAAACAATGCTATAGACTCCTCACAAATGGAACGCAGGGGTACTGAAATGTCTTTCGAAATGTCCGTGCTGTGTTCATTATTGGCCCATGTCTGCTCTTCACACTTTAGAGAAAACGCACAGCACACGAGCGAGCGAAAGAGCTCTACGCTTCTGGAGAATTCTCCTCAGGCCGGAGATGGGCAGATGACGCTCCCAGAGAGAAAGTGGACACGTCAGGCGTAAACCTGATCGACTCTGGAGCCTGTGGAGCTTTTGTGCATGGACTCGAGGACGAGATGTACGGTGTGTATTCTAGCTTTGAAGGGAGCTTCACTACATCACAATGTCCACTGTTGGAGAACATTTACACTGATGTTCCTATGTTTTTTTTTTTTTCTTTGCAGAAGTGCGGATTGCGGCTGTGGAGGCCCTGTGTTCCCTGGCCCTGTCCTCTCCCAGCTTTGCAGAGAAGTGCCTGGACTTCCTGGTTGACATGTTTAATGACGAAATCGAGGAAGTGAGACTGCAGTCCATCCACGTGTTGCGACAGATCTCCACTCACATCACGCTGCGTGAGGACCAGCTGGACACGGTGCTCGCTGTGCTCGAGGTACCACACACCCAATATACACAGTGTGTTTACACACAGCGTGTTTACTGAATATTAGCTGAAACTAATGTGACAACTGAAGCGCTGTTGAATGCTGGATTCTGACTGGTCAGAAGGTGTTGATTGATTTTCTATAACAGCAGCTCTGACAGTAGTGCAGCTGCAAATCTCAGGTTTATATTAATGCACTCCTTCTAGTATGTTATCCCTTTTATCATACCAGCTTAAACGTGACTTGTATAGGTGATGATCTGCATAATGGGTTAATGACAAAAACCTGTGTAATCTTTGATATGGTTTTCTTTGAGCAGATGTATGCTTAACATTTAATAATTATTTTGCATTTAAAATAAAATCACTTGCACAAAAACATTACATACTACATAAAGAATAAATCATGAGAGCACATGCTGTTACAGAAAAATAATCAGTGACGGGGTGGTGTAATGCAGCATTATGTTCGCAACCTGAAGTTGATAACAGCACGTCTTATGCCAAAGCAATTTTCCAAAGATTATTATTTATTTATTAAAGGATGACGCACCATACTTTTTATCCATTTATAGGCTCATTTAATGTTGTGGAATGTACACGAGTCACAAGTCACACCATTTATTGTCATTTGTACAAAGTACCATGTACAAAGTACAATTAAATTCTTGCTTGAGACATGTTAGTTTCTGTTATCACTTACATAATAACAGCTATAACCAGTTGCTATAACCAGCTCACCACCCACTCTTTTTTTCTTTACTGAAGTTAATAAGAAGAAACACACAGCTTGTTATATTACCAAGAAATTGTAAAGAGTAAAATCCTCTTTCCTGAAGACTTTCATGTAGCAGAAAACTTGCTGACCGTTACAAAACGCTGACAATGGGGACTGCATGAAGACACCTTTTTTTTTTTTTTTTTTTTTTTT